TGGGCTATTTAGCATACGAAACGTCAAACATTTTAGATGTTAATTTTGCAACAAGCTTTCGACGCTGTAAAAGTCTTGAAAACGAAGAAGGTAGCGCCACGAGGAGCCAGCGAAGCGTTAACACGGTCCTAGCCGCTCACTGCAAAGAGGAAGAGGGCGGGGCTTCGCTCGTGGCCACTCCCAAAACATGGCCACGCGGTAGGGGCTGGCGGGAAAGTGGGAGTCAGGCCAGATTGGCATTAAGCAACGTTAGTTAAAACCACCTTTTATTACTTTGATAATACTGGCGCGCCAAGCACAGAGGGGCAGAACCACGTGGGGTGAAGACCTCACGTAAGCACACCAGTATTCGGGACCCTTAATAAGCTTTCTTTTCGCTCCGCCCTGCCCCTCCATTTCAGCATAACCCTAAACTATAGCAGAGGAACTTGAGGCTTTCTCGCCGACTGTAAAAGTGTTGAACGTTGGCACGGGTCTTGAGGGAGATTGGGCCGCAGGGAGGGGGGGGGGCAGCAATGGTACTTACACATGGGGCTTGGCCGGGATTATACTTCACACACACACATACAGACGAAATAAATTACAAGTCTACAACGAAGCAACCAACAAAATATAAATTGGTCTTCAACAAGGCAAGCTTCCGACGTGCGAGTAAGTGTTACAAGCTCAGAGTCCTTCCTAATGTAATAAGAGAAATGGCCACTAAATTTTTTTCCCGGAAATAAAAAATGTAGGCCTATATATATAAATCCTCTTTTCCTTGCCATTTAACTGCCGTCTTTCTGTAATCGCAAAGCTTCGCTACTTCGGATCATTTCAAATTATCCCTCCTAACACCGACATACTAAGTATGATTTGAGGTTTTCACAGCGGTGAGTATGAAGATTTCTGTCTTCTGGGTTGTTGGGTATAAATCGCCCTGATGATGGAGGCAGTACAACCTCAGAAACGTTAGTTAACATCGACCAGACTACACAGCGCAACAACCCAGAAGACAGAAATCTTCACCAAGAAAAGACAACATAAATAATTACTTGTACATCACTGGCTAATCAAAAATTATGTATAGACACGTTTATTTTCGTCTAAATACACGGAATTAGTAGCAAAAGACTTGAGCATTCGGTGCCAAGCACAGGTAAACAAATCCGCCAACTACTGAGGCAAAAGCAATTCTTCTTATCATTAGTGCATGGAGAATATAAACTGATAAAATCTTTACAAAATCAAAAATTTCGATTTTTATTCTTATCGCCTTACTCGCATTTAAATATTAAATGTTCGGTTGCATATTCTGTGGTTGAAAGCCACAAGATCACATGTGCAAAAATATAATTTTACAGAAAACCATTTTAAAAGTTATTCGGCTAATATGAAATCATATTTTCGGGCTATGGTCTCACAACTTTTACTGACAGTGTGGCTTTACAGGCCTTGTGTTTTTATTTGCACATGTCATGTTTCGCCTGACAGAGGACAGCACTAAATATTTAATTAAACTCTTATTAAAAGACAGGCAGAACAGCATATATCAACATATAACTTTCAACACAGAATTTACCTTCAATTAGTTTATTTTTAACTTAAATTCAGAGTAGGCCGATCTGGGTCATTTTTAAAATATCCCACCTTCACACTTTATCTGCAACTATTTAACTGGGGTAGCGATGTTTTCAATCTGTAATTTAGGATTAGTTTTACGAGTCTGCTAGTAGCATATATTTTTCCAGAATTTTGGCTAGGATTTCGATTTTCATCTAGGACTGAAATTCCGTGATCCTGTGTTAACAAACATGAATGCTATGTGATTGTTTTGAGGTACGTAAGTTCTTATGTTATAAATAAGTAATTATACTCCTTTCAAATCGTCTGCTAAGTTAGGGAAATCTGTAGGCCTTTATCTCCTGACAATTTTTGACTTTGGCAGTGCGAATGTACGTTGTGGGGCAAAAATATGAACCTTGACAAAAACATTAGGTTTCGATTTTGCATAATGTTTTATCAGTTTTATCAGACTTCGGCGTAGGTACGTGCTTCCAATGTCAAAGGTTTTCTCGTGAGTAACAAACAGCATATAGGCATAATCTAATATTAACTACTTGTAGCTAACTCAGTATATAAAAAGTAGGATTATGTCCACCCCGATACAAGTCATCAAATTATGTTCCCCAGTTTAAGTCGCGGTAAACATTAGCGAAATTGCTCTGTAAGTAACCCTTGTCTGTTAGAAATATGCTGAATTTTAAACAGTTATTTAACAAATGCAATCAAGAGGATTCACGCAATTGTACATATAGTGCAATTAATTAACCAGCCATTTCATGAATTATACAAACTTCCTTGTATAAACTAAACATGTCGTCACCCTGTTAAAAGAGTATTAAACCGTTTAATGTGAGCTACACGTGTTAATGAAACCTTTTATCAGGGCATATAAAAGTTTAAATTGGGTATAGTTACCTCCAAATTTATTTTGTTTCTCATCTTTCATAGGCCTGCGTGTAAAATTATAATCATGAAAATGTATTTGACGTTGTAGAGCGGATAAATGCCTATTTCTGTAATGAAACTTATCCTAACAAACCAGCATCACAGGCAGGCCTATCCTTTATTGCAGCCCCTTAATAACCCGAGTGTAGGTTTATCCCCACCCACAACAACAATACAAGCCTAATCACCTAGACTATGTATGAGCATATGATCTGTTACGTAGGAAATCTAGTTTTTATAAAATAGTGTAGTTGCGTCATATTGTGATTTATTAAATTAAAATTAAATTATTTGGTTATTCCGTCAAATCACAATGTATTTCAAATAAGATAATTAAAATAATTAAAATTCAGTAATAAACCTTGATCGGATACGGTAATACTTCTGGATCACCTCCAGACACATCTGTGTTGTCTACTATTTCATCTCTGACCGATGTAAACATCAAAAGCATCACTTCAAACAATAAAGTTGATCCATTATATGAAAATATCTGGACACGACCTCCAAAAAACTACACTACGAAAAATTGTAAAAATAATTGTAATTGAGTTTTAAATTTAATAATATTTTACACCTGGTGATGGTTTAATAAAACCGAAACATGTTGTAACTGTTCCAATTGTAAATCGATTATTCGATATGGAACACAGAATGATATTTTAATTATTTTAATTATCTTATTTTAAATACATTGTGATTTGACGGAATAACCAAATAATTTAATTTTAATCTAGTTTTTAGTCAAGAGCTATAAAACATTTTGTAAGTCTGCTTATTCTTATGAAAGTTTTGTACCTTCCGAAGGTGTAAGATAGGCTTGTATTATGGTCATATAATTTATTGCCATTATTATTTATAATTTATATAATTTTGAATAATAGGCCTATATTATTTTACGTTGTAGTTTGTTTTAATGCTTAGCTTTAATTGAACTGAATCTTTATTTTTGTTACGTCTTCAGGATATCTGTCCAAGTCTTCTCTTTTTTCCCTTTATCTGTAGTAGACTTTTGCACTACATCGCAAGAAAAGATAACTTTGAAAGTAAAGCACTTCAAAGAATGTACAGTTAAATTATTTTCATCTTATTAAAAGAATAAACGAAAGAAAAAGTAAATGCTATGTATAAGGTATAGTGTCTCTTCTCTGAAGAATAACAACAGTTTTGGAGAACGAGTTTAACTCAGGAGGGCGGCAGTTTCTTCGGTAGGTGTGGTTTGTGGAGATAAATGACTGATCCCTTGTCTCTTATCGTAAAAAACATTCCCAAGAAGGGTGCATTAATTTAGGAGGGGCTGCTTCTTAACATATTCAAAGACAGTTTACTCGCTAAGATTGAGTAGATGTGACGAAATGCGTTACTTGTGGTTTTATCGTGGAGTATTACAGAGTACAAGGCACGTGTTTTGAAGTGAAACAGAGCTGAATTAAAAAAATTTCAGGGCCCAGACACAAAGGTAAGAATCTCACATGTGCTCTCATTACAGAAAGAGTATACTTCTCGGACAGCACTTAGCAATAAAATGTGTTAATCTGAATTAAATTTACATCTTCTAATGTTCTTACCAGTATTGCATTGTTTTATTTCTGTAAAGGAGTTTAGAATATTTTCTTGAAAAATACACATTGGAAACTGTCTAAATTTTAACCCGATATAAAAGTACCTTAATTAAATTTTGATATATGGTTAATATAAGAGTAGGTTACTGCAATTAATTTGTTATATTTTAATACGTATTATAATTATATACAGAGTAGAATAAATAATTAAAGTATCATTAATATTATAACAGGCCCAAGTTACCGCTTACCGCTGTATCTGCTCGCTAAAGTTTCTGTATGATTTAACATAAATGCGCAGTTTCGATTAAGCTATCGCGTAATAACTATAAGCTTAATATACTCTAATTATAAACACGCTGTACATATTCATATTCAAACTAACGTGGTACATATACAACATGCACTTAAGAGTTTCTGCATTTACATTTTGCATCAAGATTTTATGATGACTAAGTGGTTGGTACAAAATGTAGTCCTGTTATTATATTAGGTATTGTGAGTAAATAATTTTGCAGATGTGAACAAATCAAAAATTAAGAATGAGGTCTTCATAATTTGGTGGAAGATTTGCATAACATATCCAGGGATTCCCACATAAACAGAACATAATTAACAAGTCTTTTAATTTTAAGACAAATTTCAATATTTTTTAAAAATAAATAGTGATTTTGACAGCTGTAAAATATACGAAATCTGTAGCTTCCTTCGAAAAACTAAAAACCAGAAACTTTTCCCAAAATCAATTATATATCTGTAATATAAAATAATTACATTAAAAAATTCGGCATTACATCTCAGATGTATTAAACACGTAAGAAAGGAAACTAGTCAATAAGACATGTTTTAAACGCATTACATTATTTGGATATTGTCTGTTTAAAATAAATTCTTACCTCACCTTATTTAAAGGCTGTTTGTTATTATCGTTGTTAATTATTGTTACAGTGTTATTCCCCACATTGCTATTCTGGAAACTCTGGTGAATTCAATGACGATTGTCAACTGAGGACTGTCTCCGACCGTAGGAAAAAATACCTTTTCAATGTAAGCTACTCAACATGATTATATATCTCGATAAATTAATGACAGGTAACACTTATTTACATATTTAAATAGAATGCAGGCCTAATTACTCATTAATATAATTACTTATTACCCCATGTGTTTACTTCGCTGTCTACAAAACGCAATCAGCAACCTCAAAAATTTTAAATAATTGTTGATTTTGCGATAGATTTCTGAATACTTCTGGGCAAGATATGTTACCTGAAATGTTGCTACTGTTTCTCTGTAATTCATTTACTTCAATAAAAACCTCTGCAATGAAAGTTCAATCGTCAATCACAGAATTATGTTCATATAATTAAAGTTTGATAATCCTGTCAATTTTCGCACCATAGGCCACACATGACGCAAATCTCTAAGTGACGAAATACAGCAGACACTTTGAAGTTACTCTGTGTGCAACTATCATTTCAATCGAATGGATTGTACGAAAGTGAAATATTTTAAGAAGTCAATCAGAATAAAACATGGATTCACCCCTACCAGAAATCTAAGTATCGTGACATGAACTGTATCACAAAATAGTCTAACGTCTATTATAATTAGGCATAATTTAATTAATATCTTAAAATAAATGTTATTTCTTTGGATATGCAAGTTACTCAAAGAACATTTCGCAATAATAAAACTCTTTCTGTTGATGTAAACAAATTTAAACTTGTGATTAGACTTTATTATTTGGTTTGCAAATAGATAAGTTTGTTATATAGAAATATTTAATTTATAAAGGCACTCATTTGATAACTAAAATACAGTGACGTCCGCAAATCTATTTTTAAACTAGTCGTCATCTCGTTAGATACTATGCAACTTTTACAAAAATAGACATTATCAAATGATTAATAATAAATCAATACAGCGTTAATTCAGATACAGTTATGTATCATCTTTTCCTTTTCGTTATAGTGTGTCCAAGAAACACATCGAAATGGCAAGCATTGATTTTCTTTAATAATTAAAACAAATAGTGGGCATAAATCATGTAAAGGGATTACTTACTAGAAGTACCGAAATCACATCAGTGCGGAGGATAATTTATTATGCATTACAATATTGGATATAATATAACCGAAAATGTAAAGGTTTTTCACGTCCGTCCTTTGGCACAGATTATGCCAGAACCTTTTTTCTAACGTGTTCAATACTTTTACCACTAGTTCAATGTAAAAACCTCCCTCTCATATCGTTAAAAATTAATAAAGTTTTGTTTCGTTTCAGTTTTGATGTTATATGGAAAGGGATAACTTAACACTCGAAACTTACTTAATTCTAAGCCACCTTATTTCACATTTTCAAAATTTGGTGGAAATATATGTAGGTTCACACTTATAAATATAAATCTATATCTTTTCTGCTTATGTATTGAAAGGTGGATGTTGATTACGCTTATTCTAAGAACGAAATGTGATTTCAGAAATACCAACCACAGATTCGATTTCTAAAGTGTATATTATGAACACTATATACATTCAACATAACACGTTTACAGACCCCTACAGTCAGACCTGCTAGCACAGGGTTTAGAACTCTGGTCCGCCTGGTAACTGAACAGTGCTCTCAAGAAAAGTCTTGCCTCTAGTGAAAGGTGCAGGACTCATAACCAAATAATGCTAAAACAAATAACTTTCTGAACAATATCCATCGTCTTGATTTTTGTTAAGCAAATATGACGTATTTATTAACAAAAAATCAAGACGATGGATAATGTCCAGAAAGTTATTTGTTTTAACAATACATCATCGTCACAAACCTTCAGATTTTGTTCAAATAATGTTAGACAAAAGAATAAGACATTACTCTTCATTTTTAAGATGTTTGGAATGTTACAGCGTCGCGGTGCTTCGTAGAAAAAAAAAAAGATTATCTTTCCACCGATTCACTCCAAAGGTGCACAAAGCGCATCTTGGAGCGCTCTAGTGGCAAACTGTGAGAACTACTGCGAGGCGCTGCTTACATAGTGACCATAATAGAAATTTCTATCTTATTTGTATTTTAATAAAACTTTTGATTAGTTCACAACACTTCTAAAATAAACACAACATTCAACAGCGTAATAAATTATTTAATTCAAAGTTTAAAACATATGTTATTATCCTCGAACGAAAGTACATAACAAGTTAAGGAGTCGATGTGGAGTGAACATGTTCCAACACAAAGCAAATACTGTTTTCGAGGTTAAGTGATATATGAAACGTCCAGTCTTTTCCTTTTTTTGGGGTGGGGGGGAGGCAGTAGTTTTATATGTAGATAACGGAAGGTTTTTTATAGGGGTGAGAATTGTCTCCTACGGGCTCTTGAACTAAAGATGGATTTGGCCACCAAATAGCCTGCTTTAAGTTGGCGTCTCTGTATAAAACGTTATGAAGCTACAGCTCCAGCCGCGTTGTCCATACATCATTCTGATAGAACGAAACAACACAGGCTGGCCCAACTACCGCCGTGCGTCGGACTCAGATCAAGAGTGGGCTACAACGACATTTCCACGTTTCTATGGCATTAACTTCGAGACTTTGCAGACAAGAAAGTTGTTTCTCATGCCTACACGTGGGCAGAAATAGAGGTCTTTGTACTTCTGATGGTACTGTATGATAAAGTGGTTAGTTTCACGCCCCGGCCGCTCTGTCCCGGAGGAAATAACGTTTGCGTTCGTTAAACAGGAGGTTGAGTGGTCCCTGGAACCGGTCTGCACATTGTCCAGTCCGTTGCCTAGTTACTAAACTGAACTCTATCGCCTCCTGACATAACATAACATCGACAAAGAAGCTAAGAATATTCACATTCATAGAAACTCTTTAGTACTAGGCGTTTAACTAAGCGATCGACATGGCATTATAATGCGCCAGTTTAATCCAATCAACATCATCAAACACAATCCAATAATACCTTAATATCTCCGTTTCTAACCCAGTGCTCGCCAAATTTTCGTATTCATTTCTCGTTTCTCCATCAGACATCTACGTTTTCGTCCTACCTAATCCCTTGCACTTAACTACCTTTGAATTACAAGGAGAAAACTGTTAGTTATTAGGCGTTCTTTACGCTGTAGTGTAAACGAAGAACAGCATACGTGCTGGTAATGTCTCTCTGTTTGTCAATCTGTCTGTCCTCACGATTCAGCTCCATTATTGGGAGGTACTGCGATCATACAACTACCATTGTTGTAAAGGAGAGCTGCGTAACAATAGGACTTCGGATGGCATTAGAGAGAAAAAAACTGCACGAATTCACTTTTCGAAGACTTTTGGACTCACATGAATTCAAGAATGAACGAGACGCTATAATTGCAAGAATGACCTATATGATGCGAAGTTAAGATAGATTTCGGAATACTCCAGAGTATTTCTTTTCAATCTTGTTACTCTCTAGGCCTATAATTTTGTCACGTAGTTCAGAGCATTAAGTCAAATTAAGCTTACAGCTAGTGCATAAAGAAGTATGAAGTTACAAAACTGGCTTAATTCCAAGAGTGATGACGGGAGTTTCATCATCGATTCTCATTATTTAATGCGTTGCCTGAATTCCTCGGCCGGTGACGTCTCTCGTTCTAAGAGAACATCAAAAATTGTGAGTTTCTGAGGACAATATCTGGACCTAAGACGGCTGAAGTACGTAGGAAGAAACTGGGGGTAAAGAGGAGTTAGTACCCTGCACCAGATATTATTAGGATGACTAAATAAAATAAAATCAGATGGTCGGAGCATGCAGCGCGCATTAAGGGCATTAGAAATGTTTATAAAATTTTCGTTGAAGAGCCCGAAAGGACGAGTCAACTCTGAAAACCTAGGCCTAACTGGGAAAATAATATTAAAATAGATTTATGGAAATATGTTGTGAGAGTGTGGATTGGTCTAAGCAGGCTCAGGACAAGACTAGTGCCGGATTATTGTGAACACGGTAATAAACATTTGGTTCCATAAAAGGCGGAAAATTTCTTCGCTAGCTGAACGTAGTATTAGTTTCATAAGAATGACTCTATAACCCATAGTCAGTCAGTTAATAATATTTGCATAATATAAAACAAAAACATGGCTACCGCGAAAAATTTGTATTTAATTTCGATTGGATGACAATAACTACTAAACCATTGGACCTATGTAAGATAAGTCATGTATTCCTACAGATTACGTAAACATAACTGCAAATACGTAATATAATATTTTATATTTTCACAATTAAAGATAGCAACTATTTGAAACATAACGGGTACATTTGGAAAACTTAATATAATCGAAGTTTGTAGGCTTTTAGTGAAAATCATACATACAAACGAATTATTACAGTGTATAATTACTAATAATATAATTCTCCTGCTGTCTTGTCAATCACACTGGAATATTTGACGGAACGCGTGCGTCAGAAGTTCTTCCTAGAACTTATTGTATATTCTAACCCTTATTCTGCCTTTATATTGCCCTTCCCATGAACTGCGTCTTTCATAATTGATGACTGATCACGAAAATAATAAAGATCAAACCAAACAAATAAGGCAGGAGTAGAAAGCCTTAAAAACGTCCTTGTGCCCCTTTCGTTTAGAATTTACGCAATAAGCTACGTGCGTGACAATACGGGCGGCCTGGAGGGGGGGGGGAGAGAGAGAGAGAGAGGAGACGAAGCGTGGTTTGTAGGCAGCCAACTCTGGTCAATATACCACACCGCCCTCCAGAAAGGGTAACGGGTTCAACTCAATATACCAAATTAAGAATTAACGAATGGTACACTATATTTGTGTAAAGGTAATTTCATTTTAAACGTAAGCATCTGTCGATATATTTATGAGTTTATTATAGGTTAAAACCACTAAAATTTTGCCTCAATTTGTCTAATAATATAGTTGTTCTAGTAGCTAAACGATATTACGGCTTCGTACGTTATGTTTCATGTTTCTAAGCGTCACGCAATGAAGACGTTTAGGGGAGTAGAAGTAAAACGCGACGCATTCTTAACCTCGGCACCGGATAACAGTGAGTGAGAGAGTGACTTCACTCTCCGCCGTTTTACAAATAGGAACAAACGCCTGGTACCACCACAATTAACAAGGCAAGAAACGCGTATTCTTTGGAGTACACCAACATTTCAAAGACGTTCTTCAAGCTACATCATGTCAGCCGTTCTTGCACTAATGTTGTAGCATCTTAAATCATTCACAGACAAATTTTATTATTTATTTTATTTAGTGTTCTGTCTTGAGATATTTTGTCCCATTTTTGCTCAGTAATCGTTCCAACAATGGTAGTTTTTAAATACATTGTTGTTCATCACTGGATTCAAACAATGAAGTTAAATCCTACAAATTTCTTTGTCCGCCATGATGGTATTACCGATCGCAGCAAATTTAAAAATACGATGTTAGAATACATACAAACAGCATTATGTCCATACTAAATTTCATCCAAAGCCGACCAACGGCTCTCGAGTTGAACCATACGGACAGACAGACATGATAAGTCCATAAAGTATTCTTCGCTCACGTTAGAGTTTCAAGAACACCCAGAAACAAAGGATTGCTTACTGGGTTAAAGACGCTCGGAGCCGAAAGATATCCACGTCATATAATGTTAAATCTTAGAATAATTTATTCTTACCTTCATGTCCTACTACACCTTGTTGATTTGGTGTTTAAAGGCATTCTAATTTCATAAAAGTTAATACCTGTTGAACAATGGCATCTGTTTCATTGAAGATCAGGAAGGAAGAAGACAGACAATAGGTTTTATAAGCCTTGGCTTAAATCACGACGATATATCGTAGCAGATATTCGATAGTGTCGAATTAGACTCAAAATGGATTTTAAAATCAAACGATATTTGTGAGGTCAAAATGAGAGATTAATAATGCTTTCCATAGAGTAACTAGAAAACCACATTGCACAAAAAAGATAACACTAGGAATACAAAATTACGTCTTAAAACATGCCATACGAATTCGAAAGTAACTCATATCAGGTAAGATTTCAAGTTCTTACAGCGACAAACACGGAGATGCTGATAACGAGTAAGACTATTTCCTGGCAGAAGTTTCGGAAGCACTTACTGCCTCCATCATCAGGGTGATGAGTGATTGTCCGGAATTTGTCTGGAAGTAATGAGGAAAAGCATGTAACACCTAAGTTAGGATACCTGGTCTCCGGGCCGAGGTCTGAACCCAAGAACTACTGAACGCTAACTACTCAGCGGCGACAAACGGCGAAGTCTGCTGTGCGTCTATATGATGATTATAATTATCTTCACATTTACGAAACCATTTCGATGTTTATATAAAGGAACTGGTTGTTTAGTTTGTGCCCCAACTGTATCCAGTCGTGTATAACAGCTTACAGTTTGATGTCGTGAGAATAGTAACGATACAAAGGGGTCGTTGAATGTAACGGATGCTGCGGTACAAGATGTAGGGGTGCTGAGAGCTGATCCCCAAGTGCAACCTTGCCAGTCCAGTCCAGCCAGTCCGTTGTCGTAACAGGTAAACCTCGCGGGAACACAAGTTTCAACAAGGAGAGATTATTACGGACGGAGACCTTGCTTCTCACCAACAACATTCGCTTGTGAATGAACTTACAACCAGTACAGCTTTCAGACAAATATTTGCCACGTTTCATAACGAACTATTTCAGAAACTGTAGTCAGACGATAACATAAGAAACAAAATATTAACAAACTCCAATGGAGAAGAGTCCTTCCTGAGAAGCTAATAGTTGCTGCACTTATCAAAGAATTCACAGAACTTTATAAAACCAGAAGTTTCATTACCGTGCTCACAACAGCCCGTCACTGATCTCTATCCTTGGCAACGTAAATCCAGTGCACACTCTCATTGCCTTATTTCTTTAATATTCGTTTTAATATTATTATCCCATCTATGGTTTTCCAATTCGTCTCTACCTTCCAAGTTCTCGGACAAAAGCCGTTACTTTGTCATGAAAAGCACAAGAACTATAATAAACTTCTTAATATTTTCAATGTCGTCCCACCTTGACTCACTCTTACCTACTTTTGAATTAATTAAGGTATATCAACTGTTTCATTCCTTCTATTCACTACACTTGCAAAACAAAATAAAAGAAAAAGTTATAAGAAATATGAGTGCTGAAGTTGGAGGCAGTATGTTCCTCCGAAACATTGATATCTACCAACAAGTTCACGTGCATTTGCAACCCAGAAAATAAACACAGCAGAAAAGAAGAACACAAGTTGTGTCGTCTTGCCGAAGAACATGCACTGATACATTGATAATGGTGATAAGAGCACTTTATCTTTCCATGCATTCTAAAGTAAAACTTCATGTTTCAAAGCAAACAAAAATCTGTAGGTAATCTATTTATGTATCTAAAAATATTTACTGCATGCTAATATTTTTATGTACGTATTACGTAATAGATGGTAGTAATGTCATGGATCAGAAAGGTGTAATAACTGATCATTTACGAAACAAACTTCCACAAAACGAATTTCCTTGGTCCACTAGTGTTTCATTTTGAATAGGTTTAGCAGTATATTAATCAAAACACCTTACAAAGCCACTATCGTAATTAACATCCTGGGCATTGTCCTTCAACTCTCAACTTTGATTTTTCGTCAAATAAACTATTATTGAAAGCGTTACATGCATGGTTTCAGCGTACATTTAAAACATATGGGCCCTTATTCATCACACCCATAACCAAGAACTAAGGGTTAAAATATGTGCATAACAGTTACAGAACTGAAGAGTAAATATGGAAATCCGACAAAGAAATAACAAAAAGTATATGTTCCAACACTACTCAGCAGTGAATAACTTACCAACACATTTTCGTGGAAACGATTCTACGAATTCCATACAAGTAAACGTCCGTCCTCTGCGGAACTTGTTAACACACATCGCAGGCTGAGTGATCTGAAAATACAGAAGTTACAAAGCTGATAACCTTAGTTCATCAGGCATACTTATAACTTAATTCCTAATGAAGAAAATACTTTTAGCTCTGAAATAAATCTATTGTATGACAAAACCAATGTTTTACACGAAACGTCATGACTTTCTAAAGTTGTAACCAAGCGCAAATTTGATATGTAAGCAAAACAAACAGTTTACGTTTCGATGTAATATGAACCCACTTATCAAAAACCATAAAAAAATTCAGAATTTTATATATGTCGCGAGCTATAACATCGACTGAGCTGGATAGGAACATGACAATTATTAAAGAGTTGTTAAAAATCAACGTTCCCTGAGCTGATAAAATGTCTCGTTGTCTTTCATTACATAAATTATTACATGGGTGGACACTGTTTAAAACTATATATATTTACTTATTTTAAATGTGTGGCTCTACAAAATTCAATGTTATTTTATGAAGTTCGTAATTTTATCGATAATATTCTACTACTAGACTTTACAATCATTTGTATTGGGGCTTTTGTGATTCAAACAACGAAATAATTTCCTGTTGAATATTTCGTTACACAGCTTACACATTCCTAAATAATATTAAACGATTTTACGCACTGACATGCATACAACATAACAGAGTATGGTAACCTAGTATTACGATTTCAATGGAGAGTATTTTAAAGAAACGATTGATGAAAGCTACACTATATTAAACTTATTGATAATTCACCATATAGATAAAAATTAATAATTAAGTACTTCCGCCACAAAATGCTTATTTTTTATAAATCTTATCCTATAAGAGCACATTTCTTCGTATTATTTCAGATATTTCATAAAGTACAGACGTGTATAAGCTGTAAACTCCCTCAATCAGCCATTTTCGAAAAGTCTGATAGATTTATAAACATAACGAAAGAGTAAATAATTGCTCAAATAATATATGAAATATTTTATCAAAGACTACTCATTATTGTTTAACCAACGTAAACTTCCCATCTTTATGAAAAGTCTATTTTGTAATATCCTCTTAACATATTTCCTGGAGAGAAACAGCACTGAATGTTATTTATTAATTTTACGTGCTTTAGTCTTTTGAATGCTACAGAAATCGTTTGCCCTTAAGGACAGTTCTGCGATTTAATTTTCCAACTTGAAGGCAGCGTTGGATACAGTAATGCAAAAAAATGTAAAACACAGAAGATCCTCATTTCCTCATATGCTTTACTCACTTGAAAGAGAAACTTAACTTCTATATTTCTCAGTTAATTATAGCAACACACAAGGACGAAAAATAAGCCATTAACTGTAACGATGGGAAAGTTTTGATGATATGCGCCGGTTAGCAGTTTCCCAGCTTCTACAAGTTTTGTTTGGGTAAATGGTGAGAGCGTGGATGGGGTGAGGGGGCAGAGATCAGGGCCTCCAGAACTCATATAACGTTCTAAGCAGCAGTTTGATTGTTTGCTTAGTCGCGATATCAGAAAATGGCACTCTTCAGGAAATGCACTTGCCACAAAGTTTCAGAGATTATTACATTTTAAAGTGAAATGATAGCAGAAAAAGTTATTTACAATGTTTTCCTCTGCACGTAAGGCAGCTGTTTACTTTCCATCGTAAGGAAAATGTACAAAAAAATCTGTATTTTCAAACATTGAGTCAAAGTCATTCATAAATCATAAGTTAAACATAAATCCGGAACTTGTGTCTTGCCAATATTAATTACCTGGATCGATGTATCGGTTCCTAGGGTCCCATAAAATTTTATAGAAAATTGTGGTTGGGCATTGCTTCTTGTTCATTGGTTATGATCAAAGGAATCATTCATAAGCAAATGTAGATAATACTTCAGCAATCGACTTAGGCTCTGAGAAAATATCATGAAACACGTTTGGAACAGATGGCCTCAGAAAAGATCCAAGAAATAGTCTAAATTTACAAATTCAAAATAAACGATATATTTTCTGGAACAGTTGACTTCCATATCTCAGTTCAAATTCGTATTTCGTAAAAGATGTGTGGGCAGACAAACATTTTAGAATGTGAAATATACTGAAATCATGAGTCGTTTAAGAGCCTGTTTCGAAGGTTATATTCTCATAATGATATCCTAAGTGATATACAATCGTATTAGAGTTAGGTTTATAATTTATTTAATTTGGTATGATTAAAATTCTAAGAATTTTATTTGCATTATTTAATATAGCCTACATAACAACAAAACAATATTGATTTTTCCTGTTTAAAAAAATAAAATCTAAATAGCTTCATCAGAACTATGCTAGATAAACAACTCTAAAGTTTAGAATTTAATTTTCCTAACAGAGACACTACATTCCTTTTTTACATGAATATGTAATAACACCTTCAGCAGATCGCGGTGTTTTTATTCGCCATCGTTTGCCTTGCCATGTAGCTTACACGAGTAATCCTGCAGCTTACAGTTTCACCGTTTCAAAGTAAAGCAAAGATAAGAGAAGTCTGCGGGTTTATCTTTTTCCCCTTCACCTCCATTCTCGGAAAAGAACTGCACATGACAGGATGGGCGTATTCTACAAGCCTCATAAATTCAAATGAGCGCAAAATTTTAACACCACAGTTCTTCCGCTACACTTACCATTTTCAGCTGTAAACATGTCTGTAGTAACAAGGCCGAAACATCTTCAGAATATGATATGGGATCAACTCTAGTAATTTATCCATGTGATATTCTTACGAGCGCAGGATTTTCCGCCAGTAAATCAACTTCAGAATTTAAGAAACAACGACTTAAGAGGCACAGTATAAATTACATTTTTTTTTGTTTCCTTTTTTTTAATATTTCTTAGGTACAGTAAACTTTCAGTGCTTTGATTCGTTTTCACCTATTCCAGTACATAGAATTTAATTAGTTTTGTAAATGTAGGCCTAGTATTGCACGTGGCATTAATCGAACCTCTCATTCTCAATAATATTTCATTATTTTAAACTTCATGGAACTCGGACATTTCACGTTCTCATGACTGTGAAGATTTTTTTTTTATTTCTTCTGAGTTGTGACGATGTGTAAACTTGCAGGTAGACATTTCGGAGCAATATTGTCTCCATCTTAAACCCTAAATAATGGGACAATATTTTTCTCCAAATATCTTTCGTATCGTTAAACTATATTAAAATATCCCAAAATTATTGTAAAAAGAGAATGTTCAGACCTGTTACTCGTAATAAAGCTCAGAATTAGGAAGAAGGGTGATTAGAATATAAACTCAAAATGACGTACATATCGCGTGTTAAATGGAATTTAGGAAGACAGAAATTATATTCCTTCACAGAAATGTTACTGTCTTTTCAACTCATATTTCTTCAGATTCGTTAGCATCTCGAACTGGCATCAACTGCTAATTTTCTTCAGCATGAATTTATAAAGGTCTCGAAAAACTGGACACCCCTGGTGCCTCGCATGCTCTGGGGCTAATAGGCCTACTTCTACACGTAAAACGGTGAACTGTACCACATAGCCTCTGGTAATCTAAATATTATGAAAGTTTGGTGCAGTGTTATACAGCCCATAGGTTGAGAGAAACTTGTTCGCAGAATCAATAAATAAGGCCTACAATATGGCACACTACGTTGCTCACAGACTTGGAAATTGTTGTGTATTAATACGCACATTTCCTGCACTTAAACTATTTGTTTGTAAAAGTAGATGTAATGTCGGCCTATGTAACATTAATTTTCGTCGTGAAATACAGTGGTAATTGGATGTGTCTTTTTCTTACGTCTGTTCATTAAATATAAGAAAACTAGAAAGTATTCAAATTATTGCGGTCCGCCTTAGGAACATAATAAACATGATCACTAACGTTCAAAATGACAAGTATCTTTAAAATTGTGTTGCTTACGACGGATTACTAGTATTATTCTTTTTATCTTCTTGTTTCTGTTGTTTTGTTGTTGTTATTGTTATTATTATTTCTATAATACACATTAACAGGAAACCTATCTTGTCTTCATAGTATATTAAGCCTATTTATTAAGGAATATTACAAAGTTATATTATTATTATTATTTACTTTAGTTTAGTGTTTACATTATTAATATGGTACATTTATATATTTAGTTTCATTTGTTTGTTTGTTTTTGTATTTGTAATGTTTTATTTTTATTATTGCTGAAACGAATTTTATTATTTATTATATTTTATCCTGTACTCTGGTTTAGTGCTTGGCTGTTATTGGCCTTTTTGGCTGTTGTCAAGCACTTAAATAAATGAATTGAATTGAATTGAATAATACACATTAACAGGAAACCTATTTTGTCTTCATAGTATATTAGGCCTATTTATTAAGGAATATTACAAAGTTATATTATTATTATTATTTACCTTAGTTTAGTGTTTACTTGTTATTGCTTATGCTGGTATATGTACTTTGTTTTTATTTTATCTTCTTGTCTTGACTATGTAATTAACTAATGTAGCTGCTCAGTCAGCACATTAAAATAAGAAATTATTATCATCATTATTTTTTTAGAATTTAGGGAAAGTCCTTCCAAAACTTCTGCAAGTTGTTTAAATAGTATTTATTTTTCTCACGCTCCAATAAAACTTATAGTATTTAAACCTCAAAATATCGGTGTCAGATTGCATTTTTAACCCACTGGCATGCTTCGATGGCAGATGACGTTCGCTTAATCCCGGTTTGCTGCTTTAAGGTTTAAAATACATACAATTTACTTATTTGGATAACACAAATGTATATGAAAATCTTATATTTTCTAATTATTTATTTTGGATCTACGTATATTTATTAATAGCATCGCTTGTAAGGAAAAAAATTCACTTTAACCCAGGTATATACCAGCATTCCTCTATTTAATTTCGTGGCCACAAAGTGCTTTATAAATTGGTGACACGTGTTGTACCCTTCCTATCCCTACACAAAAAAGCAGGAGGTGCACGTTTCACGAGACCGCCTTTTTAACCGCTTGGGCAGGTATAAATTTTAGGGACTGGGCCTTTTTTCGGCGTACGAAGTTAAAAGTCTGATGACATAACTTTTACCTTAAACACATAGACGAACCTGGGACATCGCTTCTCTTGGTCTCGTACAAATGAAGTTGACTACGTGGTTAAACTCCCCTACAGAACTGAATAACCCTTTTATATAATACGAAGATGTTTCTTGTGGCGACCTAATTACTAACAAGCGTATATCATAGACCCTTCAGGTGCTATTTAGGATTTTATAGTAAACTACCTTTTGTGTAAAGTTAAACACGTACATATTTCTCGTATACAGTGACCCTGATCGTAAAAGAAATAAGTATGGAAGGATGGACTGGTTGGACGGGGGGAGGTCTGTCAGGTATCCATATGTTCGTCTACAAAGACCCATTTAATTATCAGAATATGTTTACTTATCAAACAATTAATTAGAGCTGTTAGAAATTAATTATATTACCGCCAACAAAACTGAACTGATAAAACATAGATCTGTCTTTCATACCCAAGCGAGTGTTTAAATTATATTTGATTTGAAATTACGAAGATGTATTTGCAAAATAAAAATAAACATTTATTTTTATAATGTCCTTGAAACAGAAAAATGTTATCCTGCCATTCTATGCTATATAACCGATAAAGCGTCGTTAAATAGCCCAAGAATCAATTAGAAGTAGCGCGACCATTACAAAATACTTTCATATTTTTTCAGTAATAATAAGGGGGCAATTATGCAGCGTTGTAAGGCATTTCAAACCCACCGAGTCTTCATTTCCAGAAGCAGTCATAAACCACCATGTTTCATTGATTATTTTACATTTGAATTTTAAAAAAAATGCTAAAAGCTTACAGTTTTGTGTTCTGTTCTTTATTGCCGCTTTCCGTGTTTCACTTTTATTAATTTGTTCCAGTGCGCAGGCGTCATATTTTGCGCAAGCTTCGAGGCACATATTCCCGTTCCTGGAAACTTCCGAAGTCTTACTCTGAGTGACCAGCATTACGGCTTATCTTGACGTCATGAACAGAATTTGCATTTGAACGTCTTTAATACCTACAACGCACGCCAGGAACCCCATTACCGCGTAGGTTATAGAGAAAGCAGTTCAAAGGAACTGGCCTCTCCACAAGATACGACACTGTCTATGGGAATAATTGGCTATTAATAATAATATTAAGGAAACTTACTACTTAATAATGTCATTCTAGAGCATCACGAAACATTAATAAATATTGTTATTAATATTTAAATGTTGTGTCTCAGTCTTAAGTAATCGGTGGGTATTTGTAAGATTTTTATTCCATTGTATTCAATGTTCTTTAAAAATGACACTAAATAAATGAGATGGTTATTGCGAGAAACTTCGAAAAAGAAATCAGTTCGTACCCAGATTGTTCTACATGGATCTATGGTGTACTGAACATAATTTTCTTGGTATTTTCCTGTAAATCATTTTTGAGTTCCTGGGATCTATGGTGTACTGAACATAATTTTTTTGGTATTTTCCTGTAAATCATTTTTCAGTTCCTCAATTTCTGAAAAGTAATCTAAACTCTCAATCATTTCAAGTATGCAAATTTGTATACTTTTACCTTTAAATTAATCATTTCAATATGCGTTATGAATATTTCCAACACAGAATAGCATTTTGTTTATTCTTCTTCTTAGCTGTATTTGTTCCATATTCATTTTAATCGACAGTTTAGTTATTAATTTGGTTTAGTAAAAAGCCTGACTTTTTCAAAATAACACTTACCCTTGTGACATGAACAGTGAAATTTGATTACCATATATACAATGACAATATTTACAACTATGATTATTATAACTATCATCTCTTACATCCTTTCATCACTTCTATTGCAAGCATTAAACTAACACATTTTGTTTATATATTTTATTTCTTTAAAATATGTGAATCCACTACTCTTTAAATTAATAACATAGGTATATTCAGTCCTCATATTTTATCATTATTGAGTATATTGTTAAAATAATTTTGTATATTTATCATAATTTTGGTCCAGTTAAAATGAGTCAACACAAGTTAAAATTAAGGCAATATTAAATAATTTGCACACTTTCAATTATTATTATGAGGTATGGTAATTATTATTATTATCATTACCTGCGTCTGTTATAGTTTTAACTGGAAATCCATGCTTAATTTTTTTGTAACATTTTCTTTTAGTAAGATGATTGGCAAAATTTTAACTGAACAAATATTGTTTATTCAAAAAAAACTGAATTCATTACATTCACTGCAGTATTATCACAGTTATGAAAATGGAAGATAAAGGTATATTACTTTACATCATGACGTTTCACAGTTTTACTCTTCCTACTGATGTAACACAAATATTTGCCCCTCGGCTTTGAAGAATTAGCAACGTGTCTTGTCTTTTACTGTCTTCCGCTTTGAGCACTTATAATCAATTAGCTATAATTGAATTTTATACCGTTTAATAACAGTGAGAAATAAAGACCCTCGTAACTGAAATATTGTCAGATCTTGTAGCCTAAAAAAAACATTATATTTTTATTTTTACAGAATTAAATTCAAAAAAACATAGTAATATTTTAATCCTTCACTTTACTTAGAACTCAAATAGTTTATTACTAACCATCTTTAAAGCACTATCGTTTAATGCCAGTTTATAGAGAATCAGATGCAAAAATGAGTCAAAATATAGTTTCACAGCGAGACGTATTATACAAATGTACTGTGGAAAGCGTATTCATGATTCCAGCGTAGGTTTAGCTTCTATTAGATTTCGGGTTTTGGTTTCGATAGACATCTCACCCTGCATTGCTTAATTGAAACTTGTACCAGAGACCAAGATTAAATTATAATTGCTACGTCGCGTGAAGGCCGTGATGAGGAATATAATAAATAGCCTACAGCATAATATACTACAAGCACGACACATTCAGAAAACATACTCGTCTAAAATTAGTCAACCTTAACGCTTCGTCCACAGAATCGATTTGCTATGACCACCACAACCAGTTTGACTCGAGATGTCACCAAAGAGGAAATTATCATTTAGAAAATAATTTAGTTAACCTGTGTAGGCTCGTCTAGGAGCGAACTCAATAATTCGTCCAGGAAAATCAGTAATTCACCGAAGGAATATGTGACATTGCGAAGTTGCATATAGAGTGCAGCACAGGAGGACAATTCAATAAAGTAGTCGCACAGAAGGGAAAAAAAAACAAAAATGAAGCGGCCATGTTTAAGAAGTGACGCGTAGGCATTAGTTCGAGTCTAACGGCCATTATTGATCGCAAGTGGGAATCAGTTTAGTGCAATGTGTTGTTCTTTGAATATAATATTAGTCTGTTGTAAGGACAATTTCAACGAGAATGGTTTAGTTAAAGCAGAAATAAAACGTCAGCGTAAACAAGAAATATCGACATTAGTAGGACGAACCAATGCAAGTGGGAAAAATCGTGTTTTCACTGAACCGAACGGAGGGAACAAACATAGACAAATTTCAGGTAAGTGTTTATTATAAACACGGTCAAATTGAACTCGCGATGTTTTTGAGTGCAACTTCGATCAATTTTCGCCTTTAGCAAAGGCCATTACAGAGTTTCCTACACTGCTAGAGCGCCGACCGCCATGGCGTCGCCCCAAATCAATACTGTACCCAGCATCTCAAGTTGAATACTCTCATCCCCCCCCCCCCCCCTCGCCCCCCCCCCCCCCCCCCCCCGCTCGCTTCCGCAAGATCTTGGCTCTATACTCGGAAAGATTCGGACATGCCGAGGTCTGAAGGCTACAAAGTGGAATGAGTTACTCCTCCTCTGAACTAAGGGGGTGGATGGCGGTGGACTAGGATAGTTAAGATAGAATACGAGAGGGCACTGCCTAGGTCGACTCACTCCGGGGGACGAGAGGGGGCCAAGTATGCTCCGAGGTGTCGCACGAGATTTAATTATACTCAAACAGAGGAGCCGAAGTAATCTTGTTAGGAGTTACGGCGCAGAAGAGAATCCTTTCTCTATTCCCCTTCGTTCACTCCACTTCCACCCCTGGTTACCCTTCTCTCACCCCCGCACTGCCCAAGTCCCCGACATCGCCAAGCACAAGCTACGAGAAAGCGTCGTCGTTTGTAGGTAGAATCTGCGCAAGAGCGTGGCGCCTCGCGACGACGTCTGAGAAGCTACAGCCACCACTTGGAGGCCGAGACGCTTGGTGCTAGGCAGTCCACTCCTAAGGAAAACGCCGTCGTGACAAGACGCGACGGAACACGCTCGGCCTACCTGAGTGAGCGAAAAAGTCCCGGGTCCCGCTGCAGTTGACGATAGATCCTGGCGTTGCGACTCTCGGTGTCGCCGTTGCTGCCTGCCGCAGTACACTCGCTCCTACTGTATTGTCCGGGACAGCTCGCAGTCCAATCCGTACCGAGCAGAGTTCGCTGCCAGCGCTCGCAAGCAGGGAGAGAGAGAGGGGTAGCGCAATCCCAAACAGGTAGCGCGATAATAATAATGGGAAAAAAAAGTTGGGATTGGATGGGACTGTGAGTCGGTATTTCCAGCGCATGTTGTAATGCATCAAAATGGGACGGCCCGTGCTTCCCCCTTCCTCCCCTGGCACGTTCTGTCTGTCAGCCGCAGGACTCTGTGACGACAGCAACAATAAAAAACTGATCTTCCGATGCGAAAGGTAGAGGAAGCCAGAAAACTGGCCTGTCCGTCCGTTGCAAGAAACTACAAAACGTAATACTGATGTGTTCTGTAAGATTGGTGTCTCCTCCCTTTAACACCACATCTTACGAGAAACACAAGAGTTGCTGCAAAGGTTAAACGTTTCGTAAAACGTAAATAAAGTCGCTTGCGCGTTCAGGCACTTAACCTCACAACAGACGGAAACAACCCAGAAGACAGCAAACTTAATAAACACATTATTTAATACAACGATACATATTATGAGTCGGGATAGCTCAGTCAGTATAGTGACTAGCTACGGGCTGGACGACCGGGGTTCGATCCCCGACGGGGGCAGAGGATTTTTCCTCTAGCCTCTGGGGCCCACCCAGCCTCCTCTACAATGGGTACCGGGGGTAAAGCCGGCCGGGGCGTTATGCTGACCACTCACCCCCATCTAGTGCCGAGGTCAAGGAAGAGAGGAGCTATACCTCCTCTCACCCCAAACGCCTACATGGCGTATAGTGGGACAAACTTTACTTTTATACATGAAGGACATTTGGCGTCAGTATCATTTAATAGCGGAGAAACTGCCAGTTTATATTTCTATGATGATCATCAACTGTTTCTAACCCTCTAGTAACTACGCATAAGAACTGCTTTCACACTTCGCACTTTCTTTCTGCTACACGAATTAATGATTTTCATGTAATTCTCAGAGTAAATAGTTTTGCTTTCCCTAATCGGCATTGATCTTCGATCTTCATATATATACATGCTGTGTTTTCTTTGACAGACTAAATTTCTTAATGTAGACAACACGTTAGTCGAGATAATCGCTTCTCACTTCCCATCATGACTTTTTCTCTTTCGGCTTCAAAGTGTTCACGAGATCTTGGTTTCGGAAGCTAGAAAAAAACAACTAGCACCTTCTGCTTTATCGCTTAAGGGTACGAGTTCTTTGCAACTCGTTGTGTGTCTGCGGCCCAGAGGAAATTCTCATCGTCGCATTTAATGGGTTTCGATCAGATTTCTATAAAACTCATTAGTGCCACCGACAACGCTAACGAAACGACTAAACATGTGGCTTAATTTGTCATAGCAACTCTCGCACAGGCCAGAGATTTCACCAACGCGCGCAGAATGTCCTCGAAGTCAGACGATTCTTTAGCAGCTATTAGAAGTTCAGTACAGTTCAGTTCAGAACAGTATTATCAAAAGCAAGCAGATACATAAAGAGCCTGAATTTCTGTAAATATATTCTCAGTACGGGGATATTATTCTTTTAGTCTTCCGGCCTCTACCTCCTTCCTACTTCCCTCCGCTGTTTCTGTATCATCTCCGTCGCTTATTCCCTTCTTCCGTGGTTCGTGTTAACTTTATCGGCGTAGATACTTGTCTCTCTTGTCTGTCGATTTCTGTTTCATGTTTGCTATAAAATCTCGGAATATGTGAGATTTGATGGTTTCACGGAGCCGTGTAGACTCGTGCGTGTATGTATATAACGTGGACTCGTAGGTATATACGGACAGCGAAGCTCATCGTCCTAAGTATGGATGCAGCAAGCACCTCTGAAACGTCGGTAAAAGTCGTTCAGACTACACGGCGCAACAACCCAGAAGACAGCCATCTTGATACTCATTTAGTATATTTATTATATAGTTCCCATGTCTCATAACTCGCACGTAGATCCACTATTAAGTAAGAAACGTAACGGATCTGTATTGAAAAGCAAGAAGGATGTTTACTACAGGACAATGGACCGTCGGTTGAAATAATTTTGGTACTGCAGCTCCGGGATAAAACATGCTTTCCTGCTAAGAGAACCTGTATTGCGAGTCTGAGACTGGTCAGCCTCTTGTCGACTCATCCAAAGCAAGAAAATGATCGGCTGGGAACGAACATTACAACACGTTCAAGATTATTTTTATTCTGACGTATTATAACAGATTCTGCTCCAGGGAAGACTTTCACAGGATCCCGCACTAAAAGGTAAGTGCTTTAACAGCGATTCTAAGTGCAAATTTTATACAAGTTTTAATTAAAACGATGTGGGACTTCGGACAAGGATGGGTAATTATTTTTACTTAAGAGCCAGGCAAAGCTATTTCTAATGTCCCCTGTCGAAGGGCCCGGGGACAATGATTGTGTACTTCAGCAACTGTTAGAATTTTATCAATAATCTCTTTTATGCCAAAATAGACATCATGGTACCAGTCACGGTGGACAAGACTTGATA